GCTTACGGATTAAAGTTCTGCGTAAAACCTAAACAAATCAACCCCATCGAGTCACAAGCTCAATTGAAAATGTTCTTTGATCAGCTGTCGACATTGACCCCGTCGTCTACCGATTCGGTTGGTTGGTTAAAAGCTAGATTGGTGGATTTGGAACATCAGTACCGCACATCCCAGTCTAAGCAAAAGTGTCCATTATCTAAAGAGCATATTATTGCTCTGAAAACATTAAAAGCCAACGAACAATTAATAATACTGAAACCAGACAAAGGAAATGGTGTAGTTCTGATGGACAAGTCAAACTATCAAACCAAAATGGAAGAAATATTATCTGATCAATCAAAATTTCTGCTGGATTCCAAAGTAAATTACGTTAATAACATGGAAGCGAAAATGAAGAAAGTAATCAAATCACTCTTGGCAGGAAAATTCATCAGCGAAGCTACCGCTAAGATGCTCACACCGTGTGGCTCACTAATACCGCAGTTGTATGGTCTTCCAAAAGTACACAAACCTGGAATGCCCCTTAGGCCCATCCTGTCAATGATAAACTCAGCTCAACATGGTTTAGCTAAATGGCTAGCGGAATTACTAAAACCAGTACGACAATCATTTGAGCCCAAAATACTCAAAGATTCATTTGAACTGGCAGAAATACTGGACACAATGAATGTAAATCAAAAATACATGGCATCAATGGATGTAACATCACTATTTACAAACGTGCCCTTGGAAGAAACCGTGAAAATTATATGTGACCGTATAGAAAATAAACATCTGCAGGTAGGTTTACCTATTTCAAAACTTGAGGAACTTTTAATGTTGTGCACTTCGAACATCAATTTCAGTTTTCTAAAGCAGTCTTACCGCCAGATTGATGGTGTGGCCATGGGAAGCCCTCTAGGCCCTATTTTAGCGGACATCTTTATGGCACACTTGGAGGAACAGATGTCTTTGGATATTGATAGTTTAGTGTTTTACCGACGTTACGTTGATGACATATTTATCATCGCCACTAACAAACAACAGGCAGAGTCGTTTCACACCAAAATGAATCAAATGCACAAAAAACGTCACTGTGTCCCTACAACATGAAAGTAGTAACACTTTGGCCTTTTTAGACATTTTAATCAGACGTAGAGATGATGGTACTATTGAAAGGTCAGTTTTTCGTAAAGACACTTGGACGGGCCAATACATCCATTTCAACAGTTTTGCACCTTTGCAATACAAACGTGGTCTAGTGAGGACATTATTCCACCGTGCTAGGAAGATATGTTCCATCGACACGCTACAAGCTGAGTTTGATACGATTAAACAAACACTGCTTTCTAATGGATATCCAGGTGGCTTTATTAAGTGCCATTGCCAGCCGCCTAAACCAGTTACCTTAGAAATGTCGGAGCCAAAAAAACTAGCCTATATACATCTAACGTTTCGGGGAGACGACGTCATGCAACGTATATATGACCGACTCAAAACAGCAGTCCGTCAAACCTTTTACGCAGCCATGCCTGTTATGAGATTTAAAACCACCAGGATTCCTACACCACCAGTAAAAGAACCAGTGTCGACGTACGCCAGATCTAACTGTATATACCAATTTAAATGCACCTGTAACGCTGCATATGTGGGCAGAACTGATCGACGACTGGAACAACGGGTTGCTGAACATATTCCACTATGGTTGGTAAAAGCAATGCAGAACACTAACACCTCAACAACAACGAATCAGGTAACTTGTCGAAATAATCCATCATCAGCAATTGCGTGCCATATTCTAAATTCCGGGCACATCATTAACAGGGATGATGCATTCCGAATTATTTACAGTTCGGCTAACCGTAGATTACTTCGATACGCGGAAGCTTCAGCGATTGGCAGATTGAAACCGGAACTTTGTAGGCAAAAGGAAATGGTCGTTGCCCTACGTTTACCTTGGTGAAACAGTTTGAAATCTACTCGAATTTGTGTTTCAGTTTCTAGGATTCAGCTATTTGCTTCATTTTAATTAATTGTTACTGAAGTATGCACCTGATGCTGAGTAAGATAAGCTCCTGTATGACCTAATACCTTAAATAGATATTACATTCCTAAATCTGTGCATACGACTTCTTTTTCTGTCCTTTATCTCCCTATTTGACTTAGTCTTGGTCAAGATTTCAACTTCACTTCAATCGAGTTTCTCCATACTTACTCTGTTGCTGTGTCAGTGCAAATCAAATGAAATGTCTCTCACTGTCACATTTGAAAAACTGGTGAACAAACAACCAGTCCTGGAACAATGCAGAAATATGTTCACACAGTAAATGCATATGGCAGTTGCAAGAGATGCCAAAGCCAACAGTCGCCACCAGAAATGCAGTTTGTCGTTGACTGAAGCAGTCAGGTACGATCAGTTGGCTATACACAAGAAAATGAGGTATTTCACCAGCTCACACATACACCGGCTACCGGGCATATTAAATACCACAACATAACTGCTGCACAAATGAAAGGCATTCCACAAGACTCACACAGGACTGCAACAAACACTAAACTCAGTAGCTAAGTCAGCGAAACTGTAGACTACCGTCCATATGAGGAAACTGCATTAGCAAAGCACTGTCGGAAGCAATGATTACTTTGATGCTTAACATTCTGCCATGCCTAATCCTCCATTTTAGACCAGAAGGAGTTAGCCAACCCCAACCGTTACAGCATGCCTGGATGGTTCACAATGTTACTATTCTTTGGTTCTCTTAAGGGCACCTGTAAAACACAGGCACAGAACAATTCTTCTTCTGCCTTTTACTCTTCAATGGAGCAAAGGCCCTCAACACATAAGTTGTTTAAAAATCACTTATAGCGACCTGCCATCAAACCATCTCCTAGCGATGAAGCAAAATGGAAATCAAATCTAACACCACCTAAGCAAATTAAACGTACCGTGAAACCAGTCAGGCAACCAGCCTTCCCCTGCAGTCGCCGGTACCCATGATGTCTAGCCCAATTTGCAGAGCCACAACAGCTGGGTGGGTCCCGTGCAGGTTCGGTCCGGAAGCCACAATGAGCTCAATATTCTTCTTCTTCTTTATTTAACTTTGACCACTTTCAGCTAGGTCAGAATTCATGACTGCTTTTTTCCCTGTCCGCTATATTTGTGGTGATGTTTCTGGTCCTTGTCTCATCTGGTTTTGGATTTTGCTTTAGGCTCGATATTGAATTAGCTGGCCTTTTTATACACAGTCGCCAGACTTTTCCCCATTTGTAGATCAGATCAAATCTGAAGTATCCGTTGTAAAAACTAAAATCAAGTCAAGCTGCTGAACAGCAGTCTTTGACGTTCCTGGTCCTATCACATTTAAACCTATTATTTGTGTTGACATCCCGGCAACTATACAATAGGTAACAATTATTGTCTACAAATCCTTCTTCAACTGCTGTTCTTCATCCCACAGAGTTACTGGCCATATCCACCTGAAATATAATCACTCCTACTGACATCACCTAACCACTAGTTACTTGCAGCATCATTCATTAACAGACACCCCCAAAAAAAAAAACTCATTGACATATGAGCAAAGCAAGACTCGTCCCAAGGAAACTAGATAAGGAACGTATAAGAAATTTACACTATGTATCCTCCTACTTCTGCTTAAGATGCCTAGCCTAAAAAAAAATATATTGCCTATTTCTGCTATTTTTCGAGACTTGTTTAATTTTGGTCTGTTAAAGTCTTTAAGCGTTGTGTGCTTCTGGCCACAGTCTACGACAATTTCACCTGCATGACCTTGAGTCCAGTTTCTTTACTGACACTACTGAGTGCTTGGTGCAGCAATGTGAGCTGTGTATTAAGTTTGAGTGCTTTTCATCTGTGCCAGTGGTAGTTTGTGTCGTAACATTCATGCTAGTTTGCATTTGGACTGGGAAAGTGCTTTATGCAATAATTTTGCTTGTGTGCATCCAGCTATTATGAGTAGCTTCTGAGTTGAGTGCATGGTGTGACACTGTGAGCTACGAGTGTTTTTTCGTTGGCACAGGAGCGGAGCAACAATGGGGTGACCCGTTTGCTATGATGCTGAAACTAGGATTACCAGATTACCAGATGAGTAGCTATTTTCATCAATGACAAATAGCTGTGTACCTATCAGTACTGGCATCTCTTGCAGTTACCTTCGAACGCATTTACTGTGTATGTGTGTTTTTTGTTTTGCTTAATATTCTTTTCATATTTTGCCAAGACTAACGCCACAAGATTTTAATGGGTCAATAAAGGGGATTTTGTGTGATTTTTCATTGTCACAGGAACAGAAAAATTATGGGATAACCCATCTGCAGCTTAATTTAAACTAAACTGCTGACTACCAACTACCTATCCTCTCTACCATCTGAAAAACTTAATGAAGCTGATGTAACTGTTTTCACCCGTGTGTTTAATCTTAAGATAACGGTTTACCCTATACCAGATACTGGTACTAGAATGTGAAGTGACGGGGCTTTCAAACATTCTACGCCATGGTGTAGTATGTTGTTGTTTGCGTTCCCCCGCTATAACTCGGTGGAAAGACCTAGCTGTTCGTCCATTTCTGGACTTTGTGGCTTTGTTCCAGGACCTAAGTTTTTGTGTGTACATCTGTTCAACAGATCTGACTTATTTGTATGCAGATTGATGGTTCCTTACCTCTCAGGCAGATGCAATCCGACTTCAAAGGAAGCCCCTAGTTAGTTGACTTTTATGAGATGCTTCTTGGTCTATTTTCGTTTTCCCCACAATGGGGCCCTGTAACCCAAACTGGGGTACAGTATGTGAAATGGTAAGTTCACTTCCTTATCTTCTTCCAAGACAAAATCCTAGAAAACTAAGGAAATTGTCTTAGCTGACCCCAGAGCAGAAATACAGGTCCGACAAATCTGACCATTTATAGTGACTGAACAAGGACCATGATCTCCTAGTATTCTCCCACATAAAGATTGTTAATATTAGAAGAAGTAAATGACATAAGTAGAGACAATTCACATACCACATGTAGGTTCTGGAAGTTTCAGCCGCTCTGTCAGTGAGTGAAGCTGTAGAGTGCTGACTTCATACTTGTCTCGAGACTGCAGCAGGCACTCTCCTAGCATTTAAAAATATTGACAACATTCTGAAAATTTTGAGCATCACAAGACTACAAATAATTCCATTTTGAAAAGGATAAACTATTTTGTATAGAAATTTTCTGGACTAGGAAGTGAACTATAAGATGTTTGACATCTTTATATAAATGTGACGTGTTTAAAAGCTTGTTCAAAGAAACTGAAGAGTTTGACAACTATCCCTCAAAATTGACAGCCTTGCTTCTTCGACTTCTGCAGTCATAATTAAAACGTGATATCTACACTTTGAGGTCCAAAACAACTGATCTCAGCAAATCCTTAATTAGTCGCCTTTTACAGCATGCTTGTTGGGGGAAGTAGGAATATTTTGAATATGACTTTTGCATCGAAGAAATTAGTGAGTTTGACAATGTTTTGATATAAATTAAGGAGTTTGTAAACTTTCTGATATAAATTTATGAGTTTCAGAATTTTATGATAAATAGTAAATAGTTTGACTTTATTAAACTATTTTGTATTTTGAAAGTCTCAAAGTGGCAAGTCTGGCCTGATTACCAGATCAAAAACAGTTCTCACCTCTGCTATAAAGATCCTCTGCCATTGCTTGGGTGATGCCATGTATTTCCTTTGAAAGCAAGTTGTAAAAAATCAGCACATCAAATTAAAAAGCAAACTGATTATTATTATTTGTAACTGAGCTTTTAAATTAAAAATCAACTGAAATAAACTTTTCATATTCTTCAGGTCTATACATTTAAATAACATAATAACAGCAAATGGAAGGTGTATTCTAGAAGTTAAAAAAAAACAGCTCAAGCAAAACTAGCAAATCGCAGAATGTTCTATGCAATATATCTCTGGCACTTCAGGCGACAGTTTTTAAGAGACCCAGAAATGTTCTAGTACTCATTTAAGACGAAGCGAACTCGAGAGATAAGATAAAGTGTGTTTAATCCCCACTTAGATGGGAAACTACTGAGTTAACAAGCAAGCGTGAAGATACTGTAAAAAGTGGTAAAATTATTGAATCATGTCTGAAATATATATGACCAATTTTCTTCTGTAATAATCATTGTTTCTTACTCCATACAAGTTTATGTGACTGAAGACCAAACAAAACAGCTTTTATATCCCCACTACTGATTTTTAAAGTGTATCTCAAAAGCAAACTATATAAACAGTACAGTAGTAACAATTCAAATCAATGAAACAAAATTCTGAACAGAAAGGAAAACAGCCGTGAGAGCCTACAATTTAATGAAACAATGAATATAATTCATATCATCTTTATCTATGTCATCTTCAGAGTCAAGATAGGAGATATTGTAACCAGCTTCTCATGGGAACAATCAGTAGAGATACCCGGGCATAGCTACTATGTCAAAGGACTGAGCATATGTGGGAATGCTCAACGTGCAGTAAACTGTGACAAAATAACACTTCACATTATCTACAGATTACAAAATGCAAACACATTCCAGGGAAATATTAGTCAAAATTAAATATTCCAACCACCTGCTTCATTACAAGACAGAGGGTTTACTAAAATACTAATTGCTTCATATGAAAACAGAGGATTTACTAACATATTTAACAAAGTTAAGAAAGTCAGCCAGGGAGGGGAGAAGACGCAGTAAGGATAACCTGTCAATTAATTGGCTGAGGATATTAATTTAACTAAAAAACAAAAGTTACGAGACAAATGATTGGCTCTACTCACACACTGATCAAAATCAAGAAAGTCAGCCAGGCAGGAGAGAATACACAGTAAGGATAATCTGTCAGTTAATTGGCTAAGGATATTAATTTAACTAAAAAAAACAGTTACAAGACAAAATGATTGCCTCTACTTACATATTTATCAAAATCCAGAAAGTAAGCCAGGCAGGAGGGAATGTGCTGTGCCAGAAACAGGAGGATTGTCTGCAAGTATATCTCCAATTCTAACTGTCTTTTCCTGATGAAAGATTCTGTCTGGTTCCCAAATATCTTCTTTGGAGGTAACAAGCTCTTGTCTAGCTTGTAGCTGGCTACCAACTAAATGCCAAAACAGACCCAAAAAAAGACAGAATATCACTGTGTATAACCATACTTCAAACTCACTCAATGATATCAGAAAAAGGTATGGATGATTTACAGTTCCTCATTATCATCATTATCAAGTACTATGCTATTAGGGTTCACTTGTTGTCTTCTCACACGATCACCACAATCAGGGATGAGGTCAGTGTTCTTCACACCCTATCCATATAGCCAAGTCATCAATGTTTTACCTCTCTGCATTCCCCTGGCTATTTTTTCATCAATCTTGCCAGTCACCAAGTACTTCAGTTTATTCTGTCTCATAAAATGTCCCAACAAAATACTGAGCATCTACGTCTAGTTTCTCTAGTCAGTATAATGCCTGTCTGCAAAACTAATAAATATTTCAGAGACAAAATGTATAAATTTGCGGAACATCAGGAGCCTTTCTTGACAACGGTGAAACATCACAAGCTAGCTTGGTTTGGGCACGTGGTCAGACATGATTCAATTGCAAAGACTGCACTTCAAGACACATTGGGGTGTAGTTGAAGAAGAGGAGGGCAAAGAAGAACCTCGAATGACAACATTAAGAAATGGACAGGACTAAGTTATCATACACTTATCATCAAGCGACAGTCAGAGAAAGATGGCAGGTTTTTATGTGCTAGTGCTTCCATCAATACACCTCCACGACCTTAATGGGTCAAGGGTTATGTTATGCATGTTACAGTTTGAAATCCTGGCATACAGCTGGCAGTTGCTATTAAACAATTCATTTCTATGTTTTTAGTGTGTGTTTTTAACACCAAAGTTCAACTATGAATTATCCTATGACAAGTCCACAAAGAAGCAGGTTGTTTAATTTATTCAATTGTTCTTGCCTAGGAATTAGCTTTTGATGAGAGGTTCCAGAACAGAAGGAGATGGGTGTGGCAGGTCTATATCTTGAGGATGCCTACAATAGATGTCTGCACTCATGGCGAAGGGGGTTTGTCCCTGCCTTGTGAATTGGATAGCAGCTGTCCTGCATTCATGTTTGGTTGCCCTTCGCCTGGGCACATGGACCTCAGAACCACGTAATATCATCCCGGGACTACCCCAGGGTTCTGCAATTTCACCAGTGCTCTTCAAGGTGTATACAGCAAGACTGCAGAACTTGAAGCACCAGGTGCTGAGAGGATACTGACATTTGCCGATGATGTTCTTGCATATAGGCAGGAGAGTCATAGAAAATGGATCACCCAAGAGCTGCAGGCAACTGTAGACAAAGCGACTGACTGGTGTGCAGAAATGGGTGCTGTCATCAACTCAGAAAAGGCGGCTGTTTTGTGGTGCTCTCTGGACAATAGAATGGTAAGAGCTAATGTTCCAAGCCTCACAATTAATGACAATAACATCAAAAGAGAAAAGCAAAACTGAGGTACATGGGTATCATTTTCGATAGAAGCCTGTCCTACAGTGATCATGTGGAGGCAGTTTCAATGAAATGCCCAAAAAAATTCAATGCTCTCAAGATTATGGCAGTAATGGCCATGAAACAAAGAATGTTCTTCACAATGTTCCAGCATGTGATCCTATCAATGATAGATTTCAAACTTGGAATGCTTACCATATCAAAGAATCAGCTGATGAACTTGAATTCTGGGACTTAGATGCCCCCGTAGTATGTATGCGATATCTAATTGCACTGTCAACTATTGCAGACAGGCTTAAAGTTCTGCAAGCGGTCATTATCTGAGAGTAGCTGCAGACAAGAAGCACCTCCTGCATGAAGCACTGGGTAGAGCTAAGGGTCACAGACTGAAAAGAAGAAAGTCTTGGATGGGACAAGTTGAAGACACTTGTGTGCAGGCTTGATAAATCTGGGTGAGGAGAAGAATGGGTCAAGGTGTCCGAACAAGTTTCAGACTTGTGTAGGGTCCTAATCATTTTAGGTCATGAGTGAAGGGACTGGCCAGCTGGTGCTGCAGAAACAGAAATTCAACAAATGATTCATGACAATTCCCGCCCAAGTGATGTGATTATCTATATATGGCTCTGTGTTGAGGGGCACATCAAGTGCATGGGGGTTCACAGCATAAGTGAATGGACATCGCTTAGTGCAACAAAGCCTTGCATATGATATCACAACGTTTAGTTCGAGATAAAGGTGGATGCAGTCAGTGCTGCCTTCCGCAGGCTTGAGAATCAGCTGTATACACTTGCCATGATGACTGTAACTGATTCAGAGAGCATGCTGAGAAAGGTGAAGACAAGCATGCTATGTGCAGAGTGGCATGCATCCTTAGGATATTTTCTCTAGGTAATGCTGGAGTATTGGGAAATAAGCAGGCATGCAGACTGGCCGGCTCTACACCACTCGGTGGTGAGCTGATGTATGACGAGCTATATATTGTGAGGGTTCTTAGGGAGCAGTGCCTGATGCTCAACACTCAGGGAAAGAGCGAGTCAGACCAACAATAAGTCAGTTACTGGTGCCATCGGAATTGGAACTCTGCTTGCTACTGAGGATGGGGACGGAGCGCTTAAGGGAGTGTCCCGAGTGCTGTGATGTTGATTCTTAATTCATCATTCAACAATCATTGTAGCTAAAGAACTATTGAGGGAATGAAAGGAAACTGGTGTTACACCCACAAAGATCTGATGTGAAAACAAGAATAATAACAATAAAAACATTTTACATTGGTTGAGAGCCAGCCAATCGCAGAGGTTCTGAAAAGTTATTTGTTCCCAACTAGATTTGCTGATGAAAATTGCCAACTTATTGACTTGGAGTCCACAAGTTCCATCACCCAGCTACTGAGCTCAGGGTTTAGTGCAAGGATGTGAGCTGTGGATTTCATATAGAAAGTTTGTTCCCTGTTGGGCCCAAGACATGTTGTTGACTGCACTAAAATGGCGGGTGGCCAATTACGTTCAGAATGGCCTCTTCTTTTGCTGGTGCAATTGTGGCTTTCATGATTGACCGTTTACATCAACACTGAGCTGCAATTCTGGTGTGGGACCGTTAATGTTGGCACATCTGACGCATGTTTACTCTGCGTGTGAAAGCTTTAAGATTTTGCCTGGGACTGACAAGTTTTTCCCACTAGATTTAAAATAGGACAGTCAAGGACATTTGTGAGATTTCCACTAACTTAGGAGCGGAGCAGTTATGGGGTGACCCATCTGCACAGATGTTGAAACCTAGACTAATCATTAACATCCATATGAAATGGCAATAAGCACCAGTGCTGCCCACTGAGCTGGTTCCTCCCAATGACGTTTAACAGCAATACAGAAATTGATGATGACGATGATTCGTTTCTAATGATATCACACTTCTTCAGATGTCTTTGGTATTGAGATCACATACTTACCACTTACGCCTCTTGAAAACAATGAAGGGGGAATAAATTGGGGGTGGAGGGGAGGGGTCCATTTGCAAAATATGCTACAAATCTAAAGGAAGGTAGGAGTCACATACAGTGTGCGACTCTAGATCTGTAATGTCAAAGTGCTTCCCACAACAAGTATGTGGATCCAGATCTTCCACGCCATAGTATTTTACACATTAGGTGTGTGATTCTAGATCTCTTATGATACACTTCACAGAAAAGGCTCAAAACCAATTACAACATAGTAGTCGTCACAGTTAGGAAATCCTGTCTTCGGCTAGGGGTTCCTCATTGTGTAAACTGTGAAACAAGCTTAGATAAACATGAAGAGCGACATCAAGCAACCATTATGTTCAAGCATTCTCATGCCCCCAACTTTCCATATAAGTAATCATGTTCCCTCTCCCATGTTTTATCTTTTGGTGGCCCTAGCTATTCTTCAAACTCATCACTTCAGTACAGAGCTTCTGAAGTCACTGTAAATAAAAAGAGTGTTCATAAAGGAAATAGAAAAATAGACAAGTGAATATCTGAATGAATGAATCAAGAACTGACATCACTGCACTCGTGACAATCCTACACATGCTCAGTCTCATACCTCAGTAGCTAACGAAGAGTGGACATGCTAACAGTACCAGTTGTAACCCGACTTAAAGTCTGTCTATGTTTCCCCCTTCGGTGTTCAATAGAATATTTTCCAGAACCTCTACTCACCCCTCACCCTTTTTTTCCCCTCTGAATTATAAAGCAATGTATCGTTGATTCTTTGTCTGTTGTACTGCACTGTTCATTTGATCCCAGAGAGCCTTCATCACGTGAAATATTTCGATCTCACTTTAAGAGTTAACACTCCTTAAAAAAAGTATACTGGAGGGAAATGTTAAAGGAAAAGCAAGCAAGAGGTAGACATTGATACATGTGGAAGAACATCAAGATATGGATAAACAGCAAACTCAGAGAGCACAGTGAGGGTGAAAGACAAAATATGTTGAAGATCTGCAGCAGCCAAGTGCACTGAAAATGTTTCGATTTCAGGGGATGTAATTAATTCCGTGAGAACTGTATAATTAATCACAAACTATTATAACTACAGCTCTATTTTTATCCACAACAGAGCTTCAAAAAACAATCATAACAATGTTTCTGTTTAACAATCATAGTGGCATTGAGGGTTGAAACCATAAATTTTACCTTCTCATGAAGCTGATAAAACTCACTGTAACGACGCTTGACAGTCCAGGTGTAGGATCCCACTTTTGCTGTTATGATGTATAACTGTAATGAAAATTGTTTAAAGTACTCTCATATACCAAGTTAAATCATGGTTGCATAGTGGCTTGAATATTTTCTTACTTATATTTTGCACCTATTAATCATGTGATAACTACTACACTATGGAATCTGTCTATTTTCTATTAATAATGTCTATATTTACCACTTTTTAGGGCAGTGTTGATGGGGTAAGAATATAGAAGAATATATAGAATGCTAAGAAGAGCAACCCAGATACTTTAAAGGAGGTGAGGGCTCAAAGACAGCTTATCACAAACATCATGTTATGAGAAAAGGGAAACTGGAACATGTTGTGACCACTGGAAAGAACTGTGAAAAGTAAGATAGAGGAAGACAGAGAAAGACAGTGCGAAAAGATTTTAAACAGCCTTTTGTCATGGTATGGATGGGTCTCAACACATTAACTGATTCACATAGTTGCAGACTGTCCATACTAGTCAGCGAGCACTTGATAATGATGATATAGAAAGGGAGTCATGAGCCTGAGGATTTAAAGGCGCACAGTTAGTGCTTTCACCATGGACTGTGCAGGTTAGTATGTATAATTTTGCCCCCGACAGAAAAACTATCACTTTACCAGGGGTTGAAATTGGGTTTCCCCCAGGAGAGCCCGAAGTTGTTACTGCTCAGCAAGCCATTCCCTATCATGTGATTACAATCTGAGATAATAATAGGAGTATTTAGAGATATGGCAGATAGACACGTGTGTATAAGCAGAAACTTTTTGGTTGTCTAGAATTTGAATTTGTTCCAGAACTTGAAATTTGTGTGCATACCCATTTTACAGATCTGGCTTACTGTATGCAGACACTTGATTTCTTGCCTCTCAGATAAAATAAAGACTCCATATTTCAAGGGAGGTAACAACAAAATATAGTTTTGTCACACTAACTTCAAGGGATGTAAGCACTTGTAAATACTCAATGTATATAACTACAGCTTGGCATCAATTGAGAAAAGATCACAACACTAAAGTATAGGTAAGAGCAGGTATTACAACAGTTTTCGGCTCTCCTAGCAGATTTGGCCGGTAAGTTGGACTGCTTCGGCCGGCTTAGTGGGAGTTACGTCCCTTCGCAAAACTCAAAACAAGTCGTGGAAAAAGTCACGAATCAAATGGCATACTTACCTATCATCCTCCGGGTGCATGTAGGGTTGCGTAGGGTGTCTATCATCGCCCTACGGTTGCGTTTAGGGCTGCTTATTGCGTGTAGGTTGGTTGTTTGCGTCGTAAGATGAGGGGTAGGGTTAGGGTTTAGGGGTAGGGTTAGGTGTAGCGTTAGATGTGACAATTGTTGGGCTAGTAGAGCGTGAGACTGGCCGTTGCTACTTGGAGCTTGTGCGAAAACGAGATGCGGCGACATTGGAGAGGATCATAAAAGATCACGTACCGCCGGGAACGACCATCGTGACTGATGCTTGGCGAGGCTACAGCAACGTCGCAAACTTAAGGCATGGCATCTATCTGCATGAGGTAGTAGTCCACCAGACCAACTTCGTCAACGTCGCGCACAGTCACATACACACACAAACAATCGAGGGCCTGTGGATGTTGGTGAAACGATCAATTCGCCAGCGACTGGGCACCAGCCGCCCGCCCGCTATTGTCGTCATATTTGGCAGAGTGTCAGTGGCCTCACTCCCACAAACGTCAGATTGTCGGCCACTATTTCGACCTCCTACGTGAAAATTTTTCACATCCAACCATACCCCTAAACCCTAACCCTAACCCTACCCCTCGTTTTACGCAACAACCAACCTACACGCAATAAGCAGTCCTAGACGCAACCGTAGGACGATGATAGACACCCTACGCAACCCTACACGCACCCGGATAATGATAGGTAAGTATGCCATTTGATTCGTGACTTTTTCCGTGACTTGTTTTGAGTTTGGCGAAGGGACGTAACTCCCACTAAGCCGGCTGAAGCAGTTAAGCTTGCCGGCCAAATCTGCTAGGAGAGCCCAGTTTTCTCAATGCTTATTCTCCAAAGGCACAAGTGCCTGGGTCACACCTGGAGAATGGTGGTCTCTAAGGACATCCTCTGTGGTGAATTACAGATGGGTAGAACACATCGAGGCTGGCCTCTACTACGATGTATAGACATATGAATGTTGGACATAAATAATACAGATAATGTGTTAGATTGGTGGGAACAAAAGTAAGGAACTGTGCTGCGTGCAGGCGGCTAGTCAGGAAGGGAATGAGAATAAAGGTAAACAATGACTGCTGCAGAAAGGATGAGATCTGAGTGTTTCAGAAGAAAATGCACGTGTTAGCAACAATCGTCCTGAAACTGTTTGTTCCAACTCTGGAAAACTTCTCTTAATGCGGACGGGTCTTGCTAGACGCACTCGACACAGGCTGCAAGTCTTATTCCTCCTTATAGCACAATATAACAATATTATCTGGAAAGATTGAAAGGGACCAACCAAAACTCCAATAAGTGTTAAATTTGAGTGATGGTGGTGTTAATATCAAGAAATGAGTGGAATAATATTTGCAGCAAAAGCACTGTTTAACACAACATTGCAACCAGAATCGCATCTGCCAATAACTCAATAACCCTTCTACCGGACACCTCAAAGTAGTGTTCTTGTGAAGATAACATTACCATCTGTGTCATTACCTGAAATTGTCTTTCATCTACACAATTGTAAACCTAATTACTGCGGGCTTCTATCAAGTGTTTAATTTATCATGCCAGTGTAACATAGCAAAGGTAGTCAAAGAATGAAAAGGCATTAATGTCACACTTACTCTTATTGCTTTCTACAGAAGTAATTAAAAGTAGTCATAAGTAATACAATATAGCAGAAGTCTTTTTAATCTACAACCACCATAAAGAAGTTAGTTAAGTTAAACATAAATGATGTGATCCCTTTCATTTTATCAATTATTTGAATTATCAGCTTGACTTGCCTTGGTCCTTGGTATTTTTGATTGTTATTGTGATATAAATCAAATACATTTTTAATAATTTTTTTTTTAACTTCGTTATCCCATTACAGTAATTATTTTAAGATATGAAGCCTACTGTCTACATGAGATGTAGGGCTCATGTTTTTAGACCAACCATTAATCGGAGTCGGTACTCGAAGAGTGGTGGTGTGATCAAACTGATCAGTCAGCAATCCCTGAATGAGGAGACAATTGAGACATTCAATAATAAAAAATCACGTGAGCCAGCTTGACTTTTATTTCGTATGAGATTTTATTCAAATCCCCCGTATACGTATACTAACGCTAGAAGTAATTTACAACTAACATGTTTTTGGATATTTAGGTAGAATTATTAATTTATTTAACTGTTTCGGGTATGGCTAGTTTCACTAATTTAATTAGTAATAATTTAACTCACATTCATCAATGATCTAACTTAAACTTTAACTAGTCAGTACAGTGAGTTACTGACTACTTACAGTAAAATGTTCCGTTTGTTCCGCAGACCTTATGTGAATACCCCTAGAAGCCTTGAAATCGTCAACATCCTTTCCAAAGTGTGCCATATTGTAATATCATGTCTATATCATATGTAACGATACAGCTTTAACTACAACAGTCTCCCAAATCCCGTTCCCTGAGTCACTGTGGAGATCCACAACCAGAACTCCCAATTATCCACACAACAACAACAACCCAGTAGTTCCGCCCTGATCTACTGGAGTAGCTTCCCTTAGTTGACCGATTTGTATAGTGGCTCAAAGTATCATCAAGTATCTTGCCCACTGGCGGGGGTGATCCCGCCTGTCCACAACGTGCGATCTGCAGCTGCTTCTATCTTCATCTTCGCGTTCACCAGCTGTAAACTCTGGCAGAAAGTTCTGGTTGTTCATCCACTTTTGGATTGCAGCCCTGTTCCAGAACCTGAGTGTTGTGTGTGCATCCGTTTTACAGATCTGACTCATTTGAATGCAGACTGCTGGTTCCTTGCCTCTCAGGCAGATGCACTCCGATTTCTCTGCTTCTCTTTCTACTGATCTTTCCAGTTGTCACAACATGTACCAGTTTCTACTCTTCTAATAACATGATATAAAAATATGATCGCTTATTCTGACGTTTGTGATAAGTTGTCTTCGAGCTCCCGCCTCTTTCAAAACGTCTGCATTCTTCTGTCTGGTAGTCAAGGGAATTGTAAGGATTCTGTTGTAAAACCACATCTCCGAGGTGTCAAGAAATTTGTTGGCTTGTTTGTTAATTGTCCAGGATTCTGTTGTAAAACCACATCTCCGAGGTGTCAAGAAATTTGTTGGCTTGTTTGTTAATTGTCCAGGATTCATAACCGTATGTTAAAGCTGGCTCTTTGTAGCACAGGAGAATTATTTTCCTAACCTCCAATTAAATTTTCTTCATTTGATAAAATTACAGTTTTTGGCCTGTCCTATTCTGTTCGTTATTTCTGAGATACATCTTTCATTAGCTGTTATCCTCGTGTCTAGATATTAAAATGTATGTATTCCAAAAAAATATATATATCCCCAGGTTAAATATTTCTAAACCTAAAGACCCTGACAATTGTTTTGAGTTACAACACCTCAAAGATGCTTTCACTGATTTCCAGGATAAATCTACAGCAAGCTAAAATGAGATTCAGTTAAGGAAGAGCTGCAACAGTCTGTGGGATTAGAAAACAAGGAAGTAAGGACTGGTCTGAGCAAATAGTCAGATATTCCAGCTCTTAGCTGACAGCAAACAGTTAATGCTCCTGAGAAACAAGGGGAAAACCCAAAAATAAACCCTCTCACTGAATTGAGAGAAGCTAGAAATCATTTGCTTGAGATAGCTGGACAGTGGGCCAATGTCTTCTGGATCTAGTTATGTGAAAGCATTCAAAATGCTAGCAGTAGTGGTAATAATAGAGACATGGTTGAGAGGATAAAGAAAGCCATCACCCCAAATATTTTAAAAATTCCACCACTAAACTGTTTCAATGGGAAGACTATTTATTATTGACAAGAAAAAAGCAGCTATCGCCCTTTTC